AATAGCTTCACGTCTGATTGTTCGAGAGGGTTGCACGAGATTTATAGAGTTGTCGTTGTGCTAACCAAAGCATAACCTATGTGATCCTGGACAACCTTCGACTCTCACTTCAAAGTTTCTTAATTTTCTTTCTAGATTTTGTCGCATACCTTGGTTTTGTGACTGTACTGGTTGCCCATAGACATCCCGTGATGCTGGTGTTCTGTCAGTTGCTTATTTACAGACAAAAAGATCAACAGCTTCTGCAAGAGCGTAAGTAAACTGTCTCCAGAATCACGACTCGGCTGGGGTGATGCATTCCATGGATTCTGATTTGCTTGATTGATAATCAGACAGATGAGTGTGCGCACGAATGCGCAACTGTAGCTTAGAGACAATTGTCACGTTTGTTTCCCTGATAAGATCAAAACACAGTGCTGTTTATGTACTGGCAACCAGCACTCAAAAACCAATCAGAACACTAGAAATGATATTTTTACGGAGGGCAAGAAATACATAATTTTCTTTTGTTAAGCATCGTTATAAGTGTGAAATCGTGGAAAATTTGGCAGAAAACGTACCCCATTCACCAAGTTAGATTTGAACAAAATGGGTACCGTTGAGAAGAAACTTACGATGCGAGCTATGTTCGGTTTGTTACTATTCATTTCATATCCATTCTGTGGTCACACGGGAATATTGAAAGTTATCCTTTCTTTTCTGCCACTTTGCACAGTTTTTTGAGGAACTAACACGTATCTCACGGACACTTACTTTTCAAGCCGACCATTAAAAAGATGATTGCATTCTGGGTGATATAGAACAGTTTTAAGCCTTTCATGAGGAGAAAAAGAAACATCCCTACGTGTGTAACCTTTTTTTCCACCTTGAGTCTGAAGTGCTTAAGTATTCCGTTCTTAACGTTAAAATTAGTTTTCAAGTACCGTGTGTTAAGGCATCTATTTTGTCGCTGGATCTCATCGAGGCATCGAGGCAGGACGCTCTGAAGCTTTGTAATATTTGTTTTAAATGACTTTTAACAAAAACTTTTTCACAATAGAGAAGGAAAAAAAGACATTTTGTCTCCCTTCTTACTCAAAGTAGGAGAGAAATTTCTCTCTTTTGGCCTATTTTCTCTATTGCTATGATTCTTTTGTTTTCATGAACTAATTTTTTGAAGTGTAATTAACTTGAAAAACTCGACGAAGTCCCTCCATATCTCGTCCAAACCTCTTAAACGCCTATATTGCCGTTCCTCTCACTATGCCTTTCAAGCTTTAGTCGGGAGCCCCGTCAGCCGCGCATGTCTCAAAAGGCTGTCAACCCTGGTTCCTGGCCGTGACTCTCCTACGCAACCCATCTTTTATCAAGTACTGCCGGCAAGGCCGCCATTTCACGGCGTCTGTTGTGACTTCTTGGAAGCGTCAACTTTGACGTTCCAGTGTAAAACTTTGAGACTAACTGGTTCACTTTTCCGGCGATCTGCTATAGCTTGGGGTAAAGGTCTCCCTCGTTTGTTACCACAGTATAATTCAGTCTGTATCTGGGTGTTGTTGTTGTTTTTGTTTTTTTTTGTATTTTAAATTTTTGGGTCAAAATGTTACTCCCCTAATGAAAGCTACTCTAAATTATGGGCTAAACTTTATTATCCACGTAGATTGTGGTAGAGAAGTGAGAAAGGAAGCACACAAATTAAGTACTTATTTTAAAAAAAATTTAAATTGTGGATTTTTATTGCTGGCCTCGGAAATGGGAATTATATTATCTGGCAAACATGGAGAGGCAAATGGAAACATTTGCAATTTAAGATGAGCTTTTTTGTAAATCTATTTCTCTGTAAACGATAATGGATTCTAAATATTGATTAATGTTCTTTGATACATTTGAATTTGATGGTTTTTTTTAAAGATAATATATCAGGTATTGGAAAGTAATATACACAAAAAGAGCAAGCAGTTTACGTTAGACTAAAAGCCAAGTATATAGAACAGAAAAAAAAGAGAAAAAAAATATTGCGGTTTGCTTAGGCGTTTTGAGGGGAAGTTTTTTGATTTTGAAAGTAAGAAAAGTAAAAATTGACACACGATACCAAATAATGTTGTGAATTAATGAGGTCCGTGATTAGGGGAAAGATTTGGGAAGGAAGGTGTGGGTTTGGAACTGAGGAGCAAAGAACCAACGGTAAGAAAGAGAATACGTAGTTAACAGACAGCTGTGAGCATTAACCACATGAGTGTTT